AGATAGATTGATAGATTGATAGATGATAGATAGATAGATAGATAGATAGATTGATAGATTGATAGATGATAGATAGATAGATAGATAGATAGATAGATAGATAGATAGATAGATAGAGAAAGAGAAAGAGACGGTGGGGGGGAGAATAAATAAGAGGATAGCAATAGCACTTAAGACTTATATACCGCTTCACAGTGCTTTCCAGCCCTCCCTAAGCAGTTTACAGAGTCAGCCTCTTGCTCTCAACAATCCAAGTCCTCATTTTACAGACCCTGGAAGGACAGAAGCCTGAGTCAACCTTGAGCTGCTCAGAACTGAACTCCTGGACAGAGCAAGGCTGGCTTCAGTTAAGTGTATTGTGCGAATGCCACAAAACCCACTTGGTGTTTTTCTCCTGCAATTTAAGAGATTGTAAGAAAAAAGCGGAGGAGGAGAGGCAGCCCCCCCCCTCATTTCCCTTTTCCTTTCCCCAGGAAGAATTCTGCTGCCCAAATCCCATCAGCCACAGCCTTCACACACCGTGGCTTTTGGGCATCGAGGGCCCGGTTGCAGGGCGGGGGGGACGGAGGACCTTCCCGAGGAAAATGGGGCCCATTTCATGGTCAGAAAAAGGAGGCTTCACACACACACACACACACACACACCCCGCACACACTAAAAAATGTCTTAGACTTCCCCCCCCCCCCAATAATCTGCATGAATATCAGGGAGGGGGGAGGAGGAGGAGCCGGATCCCCCTTGCAAGACGATGTTCCTTAAAGTACGACCATAATTGAGCCCGCAATTACAGTCGCAAGCCATGACAGTCGTTAAGCAGGTCATCATACGACCGTGCTGAGTTTTACCACTTCCTTTTGCAATGGTGGTTAAGGGGATGCCGGAGCCGGAGAGCCGAGGCGGCCGAGTGAAGCCAGCCCTACGGGGACCTTCTCTGGCGGAGACTGAAGCGAATGGCGGTTTCCGGGAAAAGCAGCGTAAATTGTGGTCACGTGACTCTGGGTCACCACAAACACCCACCGGGTGCCCCGTGCCCCAAATGTGGCCAGGTGACTTAGATTTAGATTTAGATTTAGATTATTTGTATGCCACCCTTCTCCGGGAGGGACTCAGGGCGGCGAACAACTCAGGGGGGAAAGGGGACATAAAACACAATACACACACGAGAATCACACAGCCACACAAGTCGAGAGGTGATCCCAGGGGGGGGAGGGGGAGACAGGCCTTTGTAACTTCAAATTTGAATCGTAAATGTAGGCAGTCCTTGACTTACGACCACATTGAGCCCCAAATTTCCTTTGTTAAGGTAAATGAGTTTTGCTCCATTTTATGACCTTTCTTCCCAGAGATGTTAAGTGAGTCACTGCAGTGCTTAAGTCAGTAACAGTGTTGTTAAGTGAGTCCGGCTTCCCCATTGACTTTGTTTGTCAGAAGGTCACAAACGGGGATCACAAGACCCCAGGACAATGCAACCGTCAGTGGCCAAGCATCTGAATTTGATCATGTGACCAGGGGGATGCTGCAACGGTCGTTAAGTGTGAAGTTCTTTGCCCAACGCTCTTGTCGAAAGGTCATTAAAATGTCGTAAGTCAAGGACTAGCAGGCTTCTCTCCCCTGGAGCCTCTTTCTCCGTCTGATTGGCCTGGTGGGGCCGGCAGGGTCTCCTTTGCGGTCTCCTGCCTTTGACAGGGGTGGGCCAGAGGACCTCTGGGTTCCTTCCCGTCCTGGGAATCTACAATCTCTGGGCAGAAACCACCCGCTCTGCCGTCACTGCAGGGGACGGACAGGGGAGTCAACCTGACGAAGGGACGGCCTCTTCTCAAGGCTGCTACCCCAAGGAAGCTGACCCCCCCCTTGGGGCTTTTGGAAGAGGGAGGTGAACAGGGGGGTGGGAAGGAGAGCCACCAGGGCTGCCCCCTCTCTGCCCTCCCGGCTGCCGCGTCTTCCACTTCGTCCCAATGTCGCAATAGCGCATGGGCAGCATCCTTCCCCGTTTCAGGAGAAAGGCAGCTGGGACGCTCAGATCTCCCGAGGGCCGGCCTGGCCTTCCAGGGCTCAGCCTGGTTCCCACTCTCAGAAGACGCTCGTCCTGGGTAGCGGCCGGTCGGGAGATGGGATCCAGCAGGGACCATCCAGGCGAGTAGAACCTCTGGCATGGAAGTCGCAGAAAGATGGAGGAGCTGAAGCCAAGGAATCTTCCCAGCTGCGTTCAGGGGGAAGGTGAGCCTGGAGGCTTCTAAGAAGAGACTGGACGGCCATTTGGCCAGAGAGGTGCAGGGTCTCCCGTTTGAACAGGGGGCTGGGCTACCAGAAGACCTCCAAGGTCCCTTCAAGCTGTCTTGTTCGGTCTCTTGGGAGATTGGGGGGGGGGAGAAGAGCAAGGGGCCTCTCCTGCCTGTCCCCCCAGGGCCTTTGCAGAAGCTCTCAAAAGCACCATCCACAGCCCCCCTCCCCCCCCCCCGATTTGATGGTGGAGCAAACCCTCCATTGTTGGAAGAGATGCCCTGGAGTGGATGGGCAGAAGAAGATTGGCCTGAGAATTCCACGCTAGCCAGCCAAATGGGGGGAGCTCAGCTGCCCCCTTCCCCCCACAAGGGCAAGTCCACAGTAGCAGCCAGGACCCCTCAGAGTGCATCAGCAGAGCCCAGCTGGGGGGAGATGGCAAATTTGGAAATCGACTCCAGCTTTCCTGTGGTTATCTGCCCCTCCCTCTACAAACGAAGGAAAGGGGGCTGGGGGGGGGCAGAGAGGATGCTCCCTGCTGTGGTTCAGCCCCATTCCTTCCCAACTGGACAGAAACCGCCCCAGCTGGACCGGCCTCTGCTGACAGGGGCAGGTGCCCGTTTCCTGGGCCCACCCTTTGAGGTTTCAGGGGGAAAGATGTGACTAATTGCTAGGGCAGGTATCCAAAACACCAGTTCGAGCACGTGGCGGGTAGAGTTAAGAGTCCTAAGGAAGGTAGGCAGAGTGAGTCTCTCTCCTGTCCTCCAGCCTCCTGCCAGTTGACAGAGATGGGCACCAAGAGCAGCGCCTTGCAGGAGTCGGGAATCGTGGCTGACCCAGGGCGAGGCATTTCTTAAGCAAGAAGTAGAGATGGCTTCCACATGAAAACAAAATATTTTTATTCTCTCATTAGCACTAAACATGCTGCTTGTGCCCGGGTGATGCTGGCAAAGCCACGGGATGTGGGGGGGGCACCTCTCGGGCCTTACAGCGTACAGACGGGCAGGGGCTTGACCAGGCAGCTCTCGATGTACTCAAAGACGGTGTAGGGGTCCTGGTCAGCGTTGAGGCAGATGGAGTCCTCGTAGTGCTCCTCCAGGTCAGGAAGCTGGTTGCTGTAGATATCCGTCTTCCGCTCCACCTGGAGGGGGTCGTCCTTGGGGTGCCGGCGCAGGCGCTGGTGGACCTCCTCTTCCACAGGCGGCTTGTAGATGGTGTGGTACCTTTCCCCGCTGACGGGGTCGGTGGCACGCTGGCAGAGGCGCTGCAGCCCCACCTCGGTGGGCAGGTTGAGGAAGAAGACTCGGTTGGGCTCGATGCCGATCTGCCGGAAGAGCAGCGCCTGGTCCACATCCCGAGGGAAGCCATGGAGCACCCAGCCGTAGGTGCGGCAGTCGGCTTGCTCCAGCCGCTCCTGGAGGACGTGCAAGGCGATGTTGTCGTTCACGGGGTACCCCTTTTCGAAAAAGGGCTTGATGAATTCCCCCACACCCGTGTTCCCAGCCACTTTCTCCCGTAGGAGGTCCCCGAAGGAAATGTTGACCACCCTGTATTTCTGGGAGAGCAGGGCTGCCTGCAGGCTTTTGCCGCTGCCCGGAGGCCCCAGGAGCAAGATGCGGGGAGTGAAGGGGGCGTTGGAGCGTGGACGGCTCTGCACAAAATTGAGCGCTTGGGCAAAGACGTCGACGCAGGGCTGGTCTGCGTTGATAGCCTTGTGGCAATCCTGGTAGGTCTGGATAATGCCGGGCATGTTGCGGTGGCTCTCCAGAAGCCCCCGAGCGGTGGCTTGCTCCGAGGTGTCTTCTGGCTTCACCAAGCGCTTCTGCAGGTTGAAGTCAACCGGCCAATCAAAGGTGGTGTGGTAGACCTCCTGGGTGAAGGGGTCCACACGCTTGCCCAGGTTCCTCTCGATCAGCACGGAGTCCGGGGCATAAAGGACCACGACGTGCCGGGGGAGGACACCCAGGGTCTGGAGCTCCAGGGCCTGCTTCCTGGTCTGGGGGAAGCCGTCCACCACCCACCCCAAGGCCTCGCAGTCCACGTCGCTCATGCGTTCCTGCAGAAGATAAGCCCACAGCTCATCGGGGATCTTCTCCCCACGTGCTTGGCACGCCGCGGCCTCCCTGGCCCTCTTCAGCATCTTGCTGAACACAAGGTCCTTGGGGTAAAGATATGTTGCACTGAGGTGCTTACAAATCCAGCGGGCGATGGTGGTCTTCCCAGAAGCCGGGGGCCCCACAATGAAGACCTTTGGCACCTCTTCATTGTTCTTCTTGAGATGTTCTATCATGAAGTCAATGGGCTTGGCTGGCCGGGACACGAGGAGAGCTTCCATCAGGCCCTGCATGATCTGGAAGATATTGTGCTTTTCAGCATAGATCCCCATCTCGGGGGGGATCTGGTGAGGCTTGCTGGTAGCATCCATCTCTGAAGGTTGAAGAGTGCCCAGTAAAGCGGGTTCTTAAACAGACTTTGTGTTCCGAGGTTGCCAGGCGCTTCTGGTGATGGAAGCAGCCTGTGGAACCTTCTGTCCAGTTGACTCAGAGAACCTTCCCACCCATGGGAGTGGCCCCCACCAAGAGAGCCCAGGGAACCCGAGGGAGATGGCGGTCACCCAGGAGGCCAGAGCGAGGACAATCCTGCTCAGCCGCAAATATTCCGCTTTGCCTCGTCCTTCCACATTTTTCCCTTTTGCTCCCTGGCACTCAAGACGCCCCCGATCAGAAGGCGGCAAAGGCCCAGCTGCATGGAAGCTCCCCTCCCCTCAGAGCAGCCACGTAGGGGCTGCCATCCTCCATCAGGCTGCTCACCAGACAGCTCCTACCTGCAGTGACAGGGTTGCAGGTGGCACTCCTCTGCCAGCTCTGGGCACCTAAGGTGGCACCGGCTGCCTGTTTTGAAGTTGATGTCCCTTGGCACCCATCGTCCAGGATGAGGAGGGCTCTGGTGGAGCTGAGGAGAACAGCAGCTGCTTCCTTGGGTGGGCGAGGCCCAGAAGGGGGCATGTGCCCGCCTGTCTGTTAGGAGGCTGCATGCCAGGTGGTGCCTCACTTGCTATTTCCTTGGACCGGGCTACTTTCATGGGTCGTGGGTTCTTACATCGCCTTGACATGTATTGTTCTTAATGAGATACGCTTGAGATGGGTAGCTGCACTTACATTCTAAATAAACAAACACCCGTCTTCCTGAGCTCAATTAGGGGTTCTTTTAAATTGCCCCCCCCATGAGGGAACCAGGGAGGGAGGCTGGATGGCGACTGGGGCAAAGGAAGATGCGAGCATTGGAAGGACACAAGCCCAAGAGCAGGCCTTGCCCATCTGGCCTTCTGGTGCCCAGGCTGCTGGTGCTGATGCCGAAGAGGCTGCGGATGGCAGTTCCTGCAGGGCCCTCCCCTCCCCCTCTTCTCTTGCCCTGCATTGGACCCCCTGCTTTCATGCACACACAAGCACAACCCATCCCACTCCAACGCTGTTGCATGGAAGGGCCGCAACAATCCGGGGGCATGAGCCCCCAGGGCCTCCATGCTCTAGAATTCAGGTCTGGCATTCTGAAGCTTTCAAATCCTGCTCCCACCTGAAGCCTCCCAGGGATTCTGTGCTGCCTGGACGTTTCTTCCTGGGGAAATTCCTGCATGGTGAGCAGCCCCCCCCATCAACCCCCTCCCCCAACTACAGAGGCGCAAAGCCACTGAGGGGTAGGAAATCAAGGTGCATTTGCTTCGCTAACCAGCAAAATCCTCTTACAATTGTTCTTGGAGATGTAAAAAGCGTGAAGGGACATTTTGTGATGTAGTTACGAAAAAGCTTTGATGATCCAGAGTTTTAAAAACTGGCAAGCAGGATTCCTCTTACTAGGACAGCCAAGTCAGAAGAGGCCACTGGATGCAGCCAGGATATCCCATGTGCAAAGTCAGAAGGTGGCAATGGAGGAATGGAGGGTGAAGAACTTTTAAAAAATGGTTACATTCACGCCTTTCTTTATTTTTATAACAGACCAGAAGCCCTTTACGGACTCTTTCCTAAAAAATGAACTGGCAATTCATTCAGGGAATTGCTGATTAATAAAAGTTGAATACGGGGAGAAGGAGACACATTATTAATTCAGAACCGAGGAAGTGGCTTTAAGCAGTCTGTAATTGCTATAAAGACCAGAAGTCCTCTCTTTAATGGTTGCTTTCCTTCCTTCCTTCCTCCCTCCCTCCCTCCCTCCCTCCCACCCACCCACCCATCTACCCCATCAAATCTGAAAACCACTTGGGAAATCTCTGTGATGGGCAGGTAACCAGTCACCCAAGGGCTGATTTCCTGACCAAGGAAGGTTTGCAGGGAGCCCCCGGAGGGAGAGGGTCCCTGGGGGTGTCCCAGAGGCCCCTTGACTGCTCCACCATCCAAATCCAGAGAAACCTCCAAGGGGGAGACCAACCTCGCTCCCATCTGGGGTCCTTCTGTGTTGCTGGAGAACTTCCTTGACCAGCGCATGGCAGCCCCCTCCCCACCCAAAGCCTATTCCTCAGAGGGGGGCAAGACTGGCAGCCAGGAGGAGCTCCACAAAAGAAGCCGGGGGGGGGGGAGGGGGCTAGGGCAGCCTGGCCTCCCCAGTTGTGCTCTTACCTGGCTCCAGGGTCCCTTCTGCAGTGGAGGGGGGGTCCTCAGGTTCTTCCACGGGGCTTTCTGTTCCATTCCACTCAAGGGACTTCCACAGCTCCGGAGGCAGAGTGAAGCCAAAGAGGCCTGTTGAAGGAGCAAGGCAGGCAAGCGGTCAGAAGGGGTCTGGGGTTCTCCCCGCCCCCGGACTTGGTCAGAGACTCAGCAGCACGTCTCCCTCTCCAGTCCAGACCGGCCGGGACCTGGTGGAGGTTCAGCCATTCCGGCAAGGACCCTCACCGGCAACCCCAAAGCGCTGGTCCTCGGACTCTCTCTTCCCTGGCCTTTTGGGGACCGGCATTTGCGTATCTCCCCCCCCCACTTCCTCGAGGTCTTCAGCAATACTCACCGGGACCCCCTCCTTGGCCGGCCATCCCCAAGGCGTCGGCCAGGGCAGGGAGGAGGCTGCCGCCGCCGCCAAGCACCGAGCCCCGTTCCTGGCCCAGTCCGGCGCTCAGGCCGATGTCCACCTGGAACTCCAGCTCCCTGCTGTGCTCCCGGAGGGCCGTCGCGGAGGGCCGGGGAGCCGGAGAGGCGCGGGGCCAGGAGGAGCTATTGCTCGGCCCGGCCGTGGGACCAGCCGGCGGCTCTTCAGCTGGCCCGGCGCCCGCAGAACCTCCCGCGACTTCGGCTGGGGAGTGGGCGGGGGCGTCCGGCGGGCTGCGGGGCGGGGGCGACCTGGTGTCGGCTCTCCCGGGCCCTTCGTGGGGCTTCTCCTTCCCCTGGCTGCGCACCTTCAGCTGGAAGTTGAGCCCCAGGTTCAGGCGCAAGGCGGGGGCTTCGCTGTGGCTGGGCGGCAGGGCGGGGGTGGCAGAAGGGGCGGGGGAGGGGCCGGGGCTCTGCAGGTCCGGCCCGAACTCATGCTGGGCAGGGGCCGGGGGCATCGCAGGGGCCGGGGGCATCGCAGAGCCCGGCTGCGGGGACAGGCACAGCAGCAGCGGCAGCAGCAGGAATCCCCACATTGGCCTCGGTGCGAGTCTCGCCGCCGGCAGGAAGCATCTGGGGAGAGAAGGGGGGAAGGTCAAGCGGAGCTGAGGGTCCCCAAGGGGCGTCGGCTATCTAGTCGTTTCCTCCTCCTCCCCCTCCAGCTGAGTCCGGAATCAGCCCAGCCAGCCAAGTCTTTGCTTGGGTAGTAAAAGCTCCTGCAGGAGAGGGAGGCAGCCTCCCGACTCTGCTCTTCTTGGCCCCAGTGCAGGGCAGAGCCAGAAGCGGCCCCAACGGCCACCTAGAGTTGTGGCCTCGTAGCAATAGCAGTTTGACTTATATAGCGCTTCATGGCTCTTCCTTCCCCAGGGGTTCATTTTGCCCAGAAGGGACTCTCCAAGCACCTCCAGCCAACTTCAGGCAGAGCACGGATGGTCCCCAGGCTCCTCGGCCAGGGAGGAAAGAGTTAAATCCTCTCCTGCCCAGGTTTCCTCCCCATAAATGCACCCCACACATTTTATGCACATTTGGACACCTGCAAATCCAATGCAAAAACAGCCCGGTGGACAGATGAGAGGAAATAATAGCCTGCTCAGCACAATGGGAATCCCCAACATTGAGCCCCCTCCCAGGGCCACCCCAAGGGGAGGGTGGGCAGAAGAGCCTCTCTGGCGGCCTCCACCGCAAGGAAGGCACTGCAGGCGCCTCCTTCCCTTGGCCAGCCACGGGCAAATGGGCAAGGACCAGCCTGGGTGGCACTCAGTGCACTGGGCAAGCCGCACTAGTGAACAGCGCAAAAGGAATGAAACCAGGACATGAATTGGGGCTATGGAGGGGGAGGGGGGGAGGGGGAGGGGGAGGAGATGTAGGGAGGCAGCCAGCGAACAAGTGTGTCAAGATCACGTAGGGTGTGCGTAAGGCCTCTGCACACCCACAAGAGAGATGCCCTTCCCAGGACAAAGCTTATGTGTGAGCAACATCCTAAAGGCACAGCAGCATCCACAGGCTCATCCAACGTCTGGCAATCGTTTACCTGTCACCTGAAGCACCTCAAGGTGAGCCATTTTGGACCCCCAAGTGCCCCCCCTGCTGTTCTCGCACAGCACAATCTGATTCTGCCAGAGGGCCGATGCCCAGGGCCCCTCTGGGACAGAGGGAGGCGTCCACCCCAAAGCCAAGCTGCTCTCAACTGGCCAGAGAAGCCTCCTCCTTCTAGAGCAAGGGCCCCCAGCCCCCCACCGCATCCCCCACCACTGGAGGACCCAGGGAAGCCGTGAGAGGAGATCCCGCAGCCCATGTGAGGAACCCATGTGAGCAACGTGAGGAGACAGGCGAGAAGTGGCACTTTCGGCTCCAGCATCCAGAGCGGCTCCTCCTGCAAGAGGGGGGAGGGGAGGCGTGAATTCCCCGCTGGGGAAGGGGGGGCACTGTGGAACCGGGCTGAGGTGAGCTGGGGGGAGGGAAGAAGACCCACCAAGGGGGGCAGGGCCAGCACGGGCGGCCTGCAAAGGTCAGAGTGGCTGGGGGCTCCTTGGGGGCTGAGACCAGAAGAGCCAAGCTTCCTGCCAGTCTGGGAAAGGCCATGCGAGGAAGTGGCAGCCTCTGGCGCCCCATGTGTGGCCCCCCAGAGACCCTCTGGCCCTTCTGGGAAGGCGCCAACCGAGAGGACGGCCAGCAGCACCTCCTGCCGGAAGGGGCCACCCGCATCCTTTGGGACCCTCCCTCCAGCCTCTGGCGCTTCAGTTTGGGAGGTGGGAACTAAGCATAGAAAGTCCTCAATTTACAGACATTCATTTAGCGACTGTTCAAGGTTACAACTGCACTGAAAAACCTCTGACCGTTTTCCACCCTTACGATC